CATAATTTATCGGAGACTAATTTTTTTCAGAGATTAAATTAAGTGAAACCTAGACCAGCTATTTAGTTGTTGACGTAGTTTTATTTAAAGGCAGGTAAATGGATCATTTAAGCAGATAATAATCAAAATTTGAATTTTGGGGGAAAATCATTAGGAAGAAAGACTGGAGAGTTGTGTGGCCACACAGTTCATTGCAAATACTGGGGAACTGGAATTGGTCCTAGCTTGGGCTGATCATGAGCTAATGATGTTCCCTCTTAAAGTGGGAAATGGATGCTCCTAAGAGTCCTTTTCCAGCTCAAAAATGTGATTTCATTTTCCTAGTGAGAATGCACAGTTTACACAAGATTTAAGAAGATGGACTTTGTTTCTCTTGAGGAAGTCTTTGGAGTAAGACAGCTTGGGCTTGAATCTTGAATTCCTATTTGAAACTGTGACTGACTGACACTAAGCCTTAGGTCCTCCTTCATCAAATGGGTGTGTTAACAATAATGATTTCATTGGGCCATTATGTGGAGTAAATAAGTGAATGTCTGCCAAGTGCTAGAGGAATGCCTCAATCCTTGTCTTAGTCATGGTTCTGTTGCCTTGAAGAGACACCATGATCATGGCAACTCTTATGGAAAAAAACCCATTTAACTGGGGCTGGCTCATAGTGCAGACGTTTAGTCCATATTGTCATGGTGGGAAGCATGGCAGCATGCAGTCAGACATGGTGCTGGAGAGAAGCTGAATGTTCTCTGTCTCAGCAAGCATCAGAAAGAGAGAAAGACTCCTGATTTGAGGATTTGAAACCTCAAAGCCTACCCCCAGTAGCTAGTTCCTCCAACAAGGCCACACCTACTCTGGCAAGGCCACACCTCCTAATGGTGCCACTCCATGAGGACCAAGCATTCAAATCTATGAGCCTATGGGGACCCTTTCTATTCAAACCACCACAACCCTGCTGAAAGCTGAATGTTGGATTGCTTTTGTCACTGTCACTGCCCAGTGTCATTCAGGAGTGATTGCAGGTTTCCTTTTTAGACTGAGAATGCTCCAAGACCCTTGGGAAGTAAGGCTTTGAGTAGCAGGTGCACTTAGATTTAAATCAGATGCAGAGTGACAGGCCAGTTATCTTGCAGCCTGTTCATGCGGGCACTCATTGCCATTCTCATTGCTCTTCTCTTTCATCTAGCAGAGAGGGAGCAGAATTAAGGCTGAATGGCAAAGCTCTTTCTTCATTCAAAGAGTAGTCTGGATATGGTTCTATTTCCCAATGTGATGACATCTGATGATATGTAAAATGCTTAGGAATAGAGGTTCTGTGTTCAAGTTCCAGCTTTGTTGCTTTCCTAACTTTGTTTTCTTACACAACTCACTTTTTTCTGTCATTGTTTATCTGTTCCATGGGATAATAATAGTCTATGATGAGTAAATAGACTATACAAAGTTCCAAGAAGATTGGATGTAGAGGATATGGTAGTTGTTATAGTTACTATATGATTATTAAATCAAAGAGAAGCCTTGCTCTGTAGATGGCCAGTGACCCCCTGGGGAAAATATCAAGGGGTCTGTGTGTGTGTGTGTGTGCGTGCGTGCGCGCGCGCGTGCGCGCGCGCGTGCATGCATATATTTTAATTATCATTAATAATCATCTAGATAGGGAAATAGCCTACATTGGCATGTGTATCTGAAATGAATGACTTGTGATTATTTAAATTTTAAAAACTGGCTTAAATATCCAAATAGAATCGCAGAGTTGGGAAGAGTGCTAATGGATATCTAGGTCAACCATGCCTCCCATATGTCTTGTCCTCTTGGCTACCTCCTAAGTTCTTAGCTGGTGCTGCACTCTAAGATATTGGGACTTTTATTGTATGCCTGCTGACTTTTGGGTCTCTCCTTCATGCAATGATCTATACCATACCAGAATACCAGGCCCAATACATGCAGGCATGAAGAGCCTATTCATTGTTGTGGTTTTCTTGTGGAATGCTATCTGTACAGCTTATTGAAGTATTTAACGACAGATACAATTTCTGTGAACAGATTTTTCTAGTTCTAACATAGTTCTATAAAGAGCCAGTAACACTGAGGTGAAATAAATGTGTTCTCTTGTTCATGGATCAGATGCTCCATGGAGATCTGCACGAAACATTGAATATTGATGCCCATCAGTCAGCAGTAATGGACTTGGAGCAGCTGAGTGCTTACAAAAATAGTGGGGAAATGACAGAGACATTAAAAATGACCCAAAACAAAGGACACAGGACCTGAGTGGTTAAGGGACTTAGCCACAGTAGCTGCTAATATGAGCAAACATTGTAAGGGCCTCCCCTACCCCCATTACTCTGCAACTCTGGGCTGTGGGGCTCCAGGTCAGCCTGCTTTGACTCAAATATGGGTCTAGACCCTTTTTGGTAGCAAATCTGCAGCTGTTGTTGGACTTCTGTCTGACTTACCCCTTTCCTTCCTTCTCCCCTACTTCCCTTCATCTTGTCTCTTCCATCCTCTTCTCTCCTTCCTTCTTTTCTCTTCCAAGACAGGGTCCCAAGAAACAGTAATTCCTCCATATTGTAGGAATGGTACTGATAAGGTAAAAAAAAAAAGCAAAACAAAACAAAACAAAACAAACAAAAAACAAGAATGACTTTATAGCACATGGAAGGAGCCCTAAGCCTGATTTAATGGGTAAAGGAAGAATATTCTAAAAGATGTGACATCTAGGCATTAACCTCAAAATGAGTTACATTCTTAATTAGTCTAGACGGGAGACTGGATATGAGCATTTGGTAACAGAGACCAGTACATGAAGGTGTATGTGGGAGCTCAGGCTTGGGACAACACTGGGTATTCACAAATGCTCAATATTTAACAAGCATTTGTACTTACCATGTAACTGGCATGTTTTACATAATAGGATGATATCAGTTAACAACAAAAGGGAAGTGACAGGCTTATTTTTATAGATGTTCTAGAGGAGAAGAGGGGATGGAGATGAGAGCTAGTCAAGGCAGGACGATCAAGGATGCTTTCAGAATGAAGGGACAGTCAGTCTGAGACCTGAATGGGAAGGAGCCAGGATTGTAAAAGTCCATGGGAGGCAGGGAGGCAGAAGGAACAACAGAGGCCAAGAACTCAAAATCCTAAGCATTCTTGGTATGTTGGAGAGATTGAAGGACTGCAGGTGTGCTGGTGGGGAAAAATGCACAAATAATTTCAGTGGTGTCTCACTAACATGACTATGCTCAGAAAAAACAAGGAAAAAGAAACGGGGGGGGGGCTAGTTTTCTGTTGGTAGGAATCTTGGCTGGTGAAGCTATTGGAGCAGACAGAATGGAGGGTCTTATAGAAAAGCAAAATGGAGCTACTGTATGACCCAGTCATCCTTCTTCAGAGAATACACTCACAGGAGGTTAAAAACCATCTCATAACAAGATATCTGTTCATTATAGTGTAATGATATTGAAACAGCTTGTGTTTCTAAGTGACAGAAAGCTAAAGAATACTTGTGCATGTATGTGTGTGTATACACACATCTAAAAAAGTGTATCATTTAGCCTTAAAATGGACTGGATTTCCCATTTGGCACAATGTGGACAGACCAGGAAAATGTCACACCAAGTGAAATAAGCCAGACACAGGAAGAATTACATTGCATGATCCCACTTATGTAGAAAATAAAAAAAAGAGAGTCCAATGTATAAAAACAAAGAAATAGGCTTTGCAGAGTTGTGTGGGGGAGGGAACGGGGAGGCTATAACATAGCAGATACGAAGGCTAAAATTTAGAGCGTTAAAGCACAGCCAGAGGGTCTAGTTAATATGCTGTATTGTACTGGAGAGTTTTATTACATAAGTAGATTTTAGTCTCTCTTCTCACATATTAAACAGGTAGGGATTTGAGAAAATAGGTCATTTTTTTCTTACTACAGAACCATTTTTCTCTCTCTTCCCCATAATATCACATAAACCTCAATTATACCAATAATATATGCAAATGTGTATGTGTACACACACACACACACACACACACACACACACACACACACACACACACACACACACACACAGCAGTTGCTTCTCTCCCTGCCCTATCCACACACACACACACACACACACACACACACACACACACACACACAGTGCAGTTGCTCATGTCCATGCCTGTTCACTCCTGTGGAGACCTGAGGTTGATATCAGATGTCTTACTTTATCATCCTCTGTCTCACTTTTTTAAAAAGCAGGGCCTTTTACTGAACCTGGAGATTATAAGTCGGCTAGACCTATTAACCAGCAAGCTCCAGGGATCTGCCTGAGTCCCTCCCACCCCCAGCAGTTCTGAGGTTCCAAGTACATGCTGGTACACTCGGCTTTTTACACTGCTGCTGGGGATTCAGACTTAGGTCTTCATGCATGCAAACACATTAACCACCAAGCTATCTCCCCAGCCCCAGTAAAATACATTAAAAACAGTAATTTGGGTTGAGTTGAGAAACATTTAGAACATTTGTGATTCAAATGGGTAGAAACGCATACACACAGTGATCTCTCCTCAAAGCAGGGGAGCCTTTGTAAAATCCCAGCTGCAAATATCTCTCCTTGGAAGTAGGGCTTGGCTCTGTGTGTTTTTATAAATGCAACAAGACAAAGTGTACTTTTTCCAAAGAACTGCACTGGGCAAATGTGCCTGTAACAGTCCTGCTTTTCCTGTTATAGCTATATGCACCATCACCACCAGTAGCACCATTGGCCAGAGCTATGTCTCAGGCTGGTATTGTGCCAATGATGGGTGTCCTACCATTTTCTTCTGGGTACCAGCCATCTCTTTCTACTTACTCCATGTGCTATCCCTTTGGTCCAGATTTCTGTTTCAGAGTACTTTAAATCCTTTCTATCTGGTTTGAGCTTGTTCCATCCAGGCTACCACCCATGTCTTTCCTCCTTTTCCTGGTTTGTCTCTCTCTGTGTTGGATCACAGAGCCACATAGGAGACTCATGACTCTTCTTTACTCCCAGTTAACAGTTTTGGGGATGATGAAGAGCCGTCCACATCTTCTGAGAGTGATGAAGACGTAATCAAGCAGTTTGAGATCTCTGTGTCCCGATCCCAGAGTTTTCGTACGGGAACATTGGAGAAGGGAAAGACAACAGAGTTGGAGCCGAAAACAAAACGCAACCATTTGCTGTCCATCCACCAAGAAGATAGCGCTGAAGTGTCTGCTTGTGAAGGTACTCATTGCAGCTTGTTTCTCCCTCCTCTAGGCAGGGATGGTCAATGGTAAGAATGCTGGTGAATAAATACTTATCCTTGTATCTAAGAGCCCAGGGATGGGAAATAGAATAAACCATGGAACTGGGGAAAGAATCCACAAAGGATAGTGTAGCATTTCTTGGTGCTTCTCATCATGTTCATGCTCAGAGTCCCAAAGAGAGATAGCTGTTGGACCGGGGAAGAGTCTTGGAAATGTGGTTGATAAAAGACTAGAGAAAGTGTGCCCCATCTAGCTTCATCTCTGCTTACAGTGATCTGTGCTCTGCAGTCTTCTTTCTCTCTCATGGGGCATGTGGCAGCTGTAGCAATGAGGGCATTGCATCTTCCATGTCATTAAATCCAGACAGAGGAAGAGGAGAATGGAGTAACTGAGACATGGTAAAAGAGAGATTTTGACTTGGCAATGAAAATAGGACACGTAGAAAAAGAACACAGGCTCAACTAGCCAACAGGACCCTGCTTGGGGGGCAGGAAAAGCTTGCTGTTCATCATGCAGTTAGACTTATTGACACAAACCAACATGATCTGTTTTTTAACAAACCACAACATAAATGGCTGCAGATCCTCTGCTCTCCCCAACTCTCTCCTGTTCCCCAGTGTTCCACTTTGCATTCCTTTCTTCCCACCAAGCAGGCAAATGCTGGCTAATGAAAGTTAATAGTAGTTGATTCCCTGGGAGTAGCTTGTTTAATTCTAAAGCTAATGGCCCCATTTCCCAGAAGCCTGGGCGTCTCGGGTCTGATTTATATAAATGGTCAAGGCTCTGAGAATGGAGCCAGCCACCCTGCCTTACCTTCCTGGAATCCACAGTAACATATCCTTGTCAGAACTAGTCATTCTGAATTTTTGACAGGCAGTGATAGAAAAGATAAAATTCTATCTATTAGGCAGAGGACAAGTCTACAACATTGAATGAATTACTGTAAATTATGAAGAAAATCCAAAGGGTTTTATAGAAATAGCCACATGCTAAATTCGAGGCCACCAAAGCTACGGAAAGATTAATGTTTGCATTGCTTCTTTTCCTACCATTTTTTCATTCATCATTATACCAGTGAAATTATTTGAAGATTAAAGAATGAAATTTTCTTTATAGTTCACCTAATTTCTGTTTAGCTATTTTATTTTACTTAGTTTCAGTTTAATTATAGACAATTCTTTGTGTTTAAAAATGTATTAGAGTATTGGACAGTAAAATTAAATGTTTGAAATCCAAGGGAAATCTTCACTTAGAATGAGCTGCAGGTAGCTCACCCTATGCTTCCCTTAAGTGAGGTCATGATTGATTCCTTATGAAGTCATCAGCAGTGTATTCCAAACCACAATTTTTCCATCTGATTTAGTGTTGCGTCACATGGTTGTCAATGCATTCTTTAATTAAATATTTAATTTATTCTTTGAGAATTTCATAAATGTATCCAATACATTTTGATCATATCCACTTCCAACTCCTCTGCTCCAGCAACTCCCCCAGCTTTATATCCTCTCTTTTTCTAACCAACTGAGTCCAATTAGTGCTGCGCACATGAACATGGTGGTAAGACGGTTAGCAGGAGCACGGGCAACTTACAGTGGCTACAACTTCAGTGAGCAGTGACTCCTCTTCCACCAGCAGCTGTCATCTGCTGTAGCTCCTTAACTAGAATTGAAGTCTTTCAGGCCCCTCCCCCATCCATGCTACAATGATGACTGGCTTGATCTTGTTCAGGTCTCATGCAGGTAAGAGCTGATGCTCTGAGTGCCTGAGTGCAACGGCCATATTATGGCCAGCAGACATCGTTTACAGCACTCTTCCCCATTACATTCTTTCTGACTCCTCTTTGGCAATGCTTCATTAACCTTCTTTTGTATTTACCTCCCTCCTCCTTCCATAAAGAGCCCCTCTTCCCCCCTTTCCCCTATCAGATCGTCACTTATATCCTGCCACTTCCCTTTACCTTCCTCCAGCCATCTTCTGTATTTGCCTTCCTTCCATTCCCTAAGCCCCCTTTACCCATTTTCTTGATTAGAACACTTGTGATCTGATATTCCCATCTCTATTGCTTCCTCACACTCCATATCCTAGCAGTGGTCCCATTTTTCTTTCCTGGTTTCTGTAGTTACTAGTATACAATAGTGTGTAGCTAATAATATATGTGCACATGTCAAGATATGGATCTAGGAGCCTCCAATAAAAGAGAACATGCAGTGTTTGGCTTTCTGGGTCTAAGTTACTTCCATTCATTTACCTGTAAAGTTCGTGACTTTTTTTTCTTGTAATGAAAGGCTTTGTTTCCAGGCTGAGTGTGAGCCTATAACGTAATTGTTGACTTATTGGGGCTGCTTTTTTTTTTTGTTTGTTTCGAGCAGTAACCTGCAAGCTAATTAAGAATAGCTGCTCCTTATCAGCATATCTAACTGCAGGCCATGGGCTACATGTGGCCCAGGAGAGCTATACATGTGGCCCAAATGCAAAATAATTAACTTATTTAAAATATTATGAGACATAAAAGTATTCATAATGCTATTATGGACTTATTGAGTGTGAATTCTGTAGATGATGACAATGTCAAAAGGTTGGGTATACCCAGTGACATGTTTTATGAAAAGATATCCTTTTCTTCATTTCATTTAAACAACTGATATCCCCTGGGTCTATAGCCAGCTTTGTTTGGAGTGATGTTACTAACAGAGAAATACAACTAGGAAAACAAACACATACATTCACACACACACACACACACAC